AAGGATATGAAGGACACAACATTAGGTAATAATGAATAATAATAATTATTAGGTAAAAATGAATACAATTTTTTTTTGCTGTGAGTTCCATATAGCCAGTTGATTCTCACAGAATGCTTTAATTGATTTTTGCAGAACTCTTGTATCCCCAGCTAACCTGTGGTTATAAAGGATGAATGAGTCTACCTCTGACATGAATGCTAGTTAATATTTTTGCCTAAATTAATGAATAAGGCAAAAGTGAAACAACAAAGATACACGTTAGAACTTCATTTGTTTGTCATGTGAGATGACTTCTTTATTGAATCAGATAATAGTTCTTGAATCCTGAAAGAATATCTCCCTCAGTCTTTTTCCTCTTTACTTACTAGGCAACAGCTGCAGACACAACACTTTTAAATTTCATTTGTTATCAGTTGTTTTTGACAGGCGAGAGATTTTGCTCCTCAGGGGATGTTTGGCAATGTCCAGAGACATTTTTGCTTGTCATAACTATAGAAGGAGGGTGTTACTGGCATCTAATAGATAAATAGATGCCAAACATCTCTCTCCCCAAAAAGAATTATCTGCTCCAAAGTTGAGAAACCCTGATTTGTATTAGTAATATTTTCTCCATAACTCTTTAAAGTTTAGACAATCAACAAAATAATAAGTCAAGTCCAGATTTGTAGCGGTTGCCAATTTCGGTGGTGTAAATATTCCCACTGTGGCTGATTGAATCTACCAATATGACATTTCACAAGTGTGGAGTTGTTGAAAAATGTGTGGTAGCACGTCACGTGGAGTTTCCACCACAAAGAGGCAATAGTTATAACTATAACTGCAAGAGTATAAATTATAGTAAAATGTAGTAATATGATTGCATGTAATAGGTTCTGTGTATTTATTACCTGTGTTTATAAAGTATTTGTGTAAATAAACTTTTAACTTTTAATAATGGTGTGCTTAACAGCTGACTCATAAAATTCTTAAAGATTTAGCAGTTTGCTCTTGCAGGTCAATAAAGACTGGTCTGGCTCCAGCTTGCTACTGAAATGGCTATCCACCACTTGAATTCACATTTATATTTCCTGCATCTTAGAAAGATCAACCTGGGGCGCCTGGGTGGCTCAGTCGTTGGGCATCTGCCTTTGGCTCGGGTCATGATCCCGGGGTCCTGGGATCGAGCCCGACATAGGGCTCCTTGCTTAGCGGGAAGCCTGCTTCTCCCTCTCCTGCTCCCCCTGCTTGTGTTCCCTCTTTCGCTGTGTCTCTCTCTGTCAAATAAATAAATAAAATCTTAAAAAAAAAAAAGGAAGATCGACCCAATTCCAACGCCAGTTTTCTAGGGAATGGTCTCTGGTTGGCCCAGTTTGGGTCAGGTACCTGTCCATGGTATAGCCACACAAAGCAGGTATGTGAATGTGGCTGAATCCAAAGGCAGCCTGTCCCCTCCCATTAGGAAATTTCTGGAAGCATCACCGTGTGTGGGAGGGCACCCTTGGAGGAGTCCATGACTGTTACAGATACACAGGCACTTGCTTCCTCCTCCACTCCTGTTTATCAAGACTCCATGCAGACTGAGTTTCTGACTCATCCACTTTTTCCTCCCCGGAGAGATTTCAAAATAACGTATTAGATCAGTGGTTCTCAAAGTGTGCTCCCTGGATCAACAGCAGCTGCTTCACTTGGGAGCTTGTTCAAAAAGCAAATTATTGGGCACGACTCCAGACCTCCTGACTGAGCTGTTCTGGGGAGGGGGACCAGTAGTCTGGGTTTCAAAAGGTCCTCCAGGTTATTCTAAGGCAAACTGAAGAATGAGGGCCACTGTACTAGATTATCTAGCTTTAAAAAAGTTCCATTCTATTATTTAGGACAGCAACAAAACAAACCCAGGTCATCCTGATTAAATTTGGTATTTCTTCCAGTCTTCAGAAATGACAATCTCCCTTTGGATGAATTACTCGAGCAGAGCAATAATCTCATCAATCTTATATTGATTTTTACTTTTTCTTCTTTTAGAAAATGACTGGTCTTTTATTTCTGTGAATACTTTATTATAACCTCACCTATGCTATTAAATCATATTTGTCTTACATAAGTTAACTTTTCAGGATCTATTTCTTGATTCCCAAGGTAGCTGGTAATATCCTCAAGAGTAGGGGCAACATTTTGTATTTGGTTTAGGCCACAGAAACGAAAGTAGTATAGAGCTCACAGAAGATACCTAAATATTGGTTGAATAATTATGAAGATTTACACAAATATTTATTGTCAATCCCTTGCTTTCTTTTATTGGCATTATTTAAAGTTTATCACATAATTTCTAAAGTAGTTACCCTGGAAAAATTTATAAAGAATTTCAATAATTAAAACAGAAAATGACTGCTCTCTGGATATTTTCTCCAAATCATGGAAGTTGTATCAAGTTATGCTGTGGAGAAGAAAAGAATCACCAGTGGTTACTATTGACAGATAACAAGCTGATATTTTGATATGTTTCCTTCCAATAATTTTTTTCTAAGTTTATATGCTTTTCTAATCAAAAAGTGACCATATACTAGATTTCTAGTTTCATTAGTTTACTTTTTCATTAAGCATTATATCATGAGCATTCTCACATAATTGAATATTTTCTGAAACATGGTTTTTAATGTTCTAGATTATTCTGTTCTATGTATGAACTGTAAGTTATTTAACCATTATCCCATTTAGGATATTTGGGTTGCTAACAGTATTTCACTTTTTAAATAACTACTGTGATGGAATGGGATGCAGTTTTTTTTTAAGGTTTTGTTTATTTGTTTGTTTATTTATTTAGAGTACATGAGCAGGGGGAGGGGCAGCGGGAGAAGGAGAAAGAATCTGAAGCCGACTTCCAGCTGAGTCTGGAGGGGGGCGGGGCTTAATCTAATGACGCTGAGATCTTGACCAGAGCCGAAATCAAGAGCCGGATGTTCAACCGACTGAGCCACCCGGTGGCTCCAGGATGCATAGTTTGAAAATGAACACATTCTCCCTTAGAGTTAGGATGGGTTGGTTCTCTCTCCTGGTCGTCTTTTTTCCCTTCTGTATTGAAAAGCTTACTCATCACTTTGCTTGTTCAAGTACACATCTTTCTTCCATCTCAAGCCTTTGTCAAGATTTAATGCACATGTTTCCATAAACACCGAAATCAGTGAGAGTCTGAAATTTAAAAGGAGCCTGTTTTTGGTAGCTAGTTGTTTCTCTGGTTTGCACTGTCTCCCATTGGCCACCTGTTCCTTTGTTGGAAACTTCCATTATTGTTACTATCATCCCTGTCAGTTCTTCATTCAGGGTGTTTTTTTGTTTTTTTTTTTTTAAGATTTTATTTATTTATTTGAGAGAGAACATGAGAGGGGTTAAGGGTCAGAAGAGGAGCAGACTCCCCGCTGAGCAGGGAGCCAATGTGGGACTCGATCCTGGGACTCCAGGATCATGACCTGAGCCGAAGGCAGTTGCTTAACCAACTGAGCCACCCAGGCGCCCCTCGTTCATGTTTCTGTGTAATAATCTCTTAACCCTAAAACAGGCAAATGCTAATAAATTCTTTGCTTAGGGAATTATAAATGACTCGGGAGACCAATAGCCATATAAGAGTGTTGCCATGTTTATTAATTCAAGGACCTTTTCTTTGTAAAATATTTTAAGCTTTCCAAAGCCCTAAAAATTAGCACAGTATCTTAGGTCAGAGAATGAGTTAACTTCCTTTGTTGATTTATTTCTGGTAAAAGTCAGCTATCTTTTGGAGAAATGTAACCAACACACACACACACACACACACAAACACACACACGTACAAAACTTTGTAAATTGATCGAACAGTTCTCTACTGTCTTTTATTTTGATAAATCATCTTACTCAGTATCAATCGACTGAACTGAATGATATTTCTTTCCTTTTTGAGTGGGAAAAACTAACCTGTCAAATATTCTTCAGTTACGATTTATCTGGAATTTCAAAAACAGCTTCAATGGCATAGAACCAAAGATAAATGCTTTGTAAACAGTTCTTAGGGTCTTTTTAAAATTAAAATCTTAGACATAATTTTTCTCCACGATTTAATTTTTCATCTTGGGTTGGACTTAGACACACACACACACACACACTCACACACACACACACACTCTTTCTGATTACATCTCCAATCATGTCACTGAAAATCTTGATTGCTGAACAAATGACCATAACAATTATCTCAGTTAGCTTGGGGTAAGTGTTCAGTTATCACCAAGATTTGTAAGCAGTTTAGAACTGGGAAATGAGAGACATTTATTTCTGAAGTGACTTAAATGGATGTAGTTGCTTAACTTTACAGGAAATTTAACGGGGTGGCAATGAACACTGCCCCTTTATTCTGTACTAAGGAACTAATAGTATTGCTCAGGGTTTTCCCACTTTATTTTTTTCAAGAACTGTTTTTTTTTTTGTTTTTTAAGATTTTATTTATTTGACAGAGAGACAGAGAGGGAACACAAGCGGGGGAGTGGGAGAGGGAGAAGCAGGCTTCCCATGGAGCAGGGAGCCCGATGCGGGCCTCGATCTCATGATCCTGGGATCAGGACCTGAGCTGAAGGCAGATGCTTCTCGACTGAGCTGCCCGGGTGCCCCAAGGGTTTTCCCACTTTAGTGCATTCATTTTGGCAAGCAGGTAACTTAAGGAACTCTGGTGTGAACTGGTTTAATGAGTGAGGATCTGGCCCTAATTAATATAATTGAAGTGTTCTATGAGGAGGCTTTTGCTTCTGAACTAGCAAATACAAGGAGGTGTAATAACTTCTCTTTAAAAATATGGCATGTCGACCTCCACAGGCTTCAAGAAGACTCCTGTTTCAGCCTACTTTCCATTGTTATCTCCGCTAGCATAAACGACAGGCGCGCTGCCGGAGGGCGCCGCCAGGGGGCGCAAGTCTACAGCGGCTTCGTCAACAACAGGGGCCCTGGAGCACTCCCTCCCCTCCTCTCGCTTGCTTCAGCTTCCGCCGGAAGCGGTTATTGTCAGTCGTTGTCAGGTATTTGAGCTTGTTTGTGGTGGGCTCGCGCGCCTGGCTGGGTGAGGCTTGGTTCCAGGACCCCGAGAGGGAAGCTCGAGCGTAAACCGGGGCAGCGGGATGGACGTTCTGAAATCGGAGATCCTCCGGAAGCGGCAGCTGGTGGAGGACAGGAACCTGTTGGTGGTGAGGATCCTTGGGGGTCGTGGGGCTTTGGCTATCGAAGACGTGTGTGTGTGTGTGGGTGGGTGGCGCTGGGAGTGAGAGGAGGGGTGAAGGGGTTTGGGCAGAGATGAGGCTTGGTGGGAGCTCCGGAGCTACCCGGAGTGGCCCCTCTAGACCCACCCTTTGACACCTCCCTCGGGAGTCTTAGGGAGGTGGGGAATTTCAGCAAACCCCAAGAGTTTGGCAAATTTCTCCCCAGCTGCCCCCTTTTCCTCGAAGTTTCCCCTTCTGCCCCTTACACCCACTTCCATCTGTCCGTATTCTGCGAACGTGCCCCGGTTCTGGTGGTTCACGTCTGTCGTTTTACTAAGGGTTTGTGCCCGGCTGAAACGAGAGTAAGGGCAGGTCCAGAATTATTTAAAATTTGTAACTCCGTCCTACTGTTGAAACCTGAGTTTTTATTACATCCCCCCCAACACATAACAGAAGTCTGTTGGCCAGCCCTTCGCTTGATAGGACGGCTAAAACTGTTGTAGACAAACTGGAGTAAAAGGAGAAAAAGGAGAATTGCATGATTTAGAAACTTCCTTACCTAGATGTTCATGACTTTGTTGCGTAACAATAACTGAGACCAGGGGTTCTCAAAGCCTTGGGCCGCCGGAGCCCTTTACACTTTTCCAAACTGAGGATCACAAAGGGCTTTTGTTTATGTATTTATCGATATTTACCGCATTAGAAGTTAAAGCTGAGAAGTTTTTCTTATTGAAGTTTAGGTGACATAGAAAATTGTAATAGTTGCAGGTGTATAACAGTGATTGACAATTACAAACATTAGGAAATGCTGACCACAGTGTAGTTTAACATCTGCCACCCACAAAGGTATTAAAATGTTATCGAGTATATTCTCAATGCTGTACTTTTCATCCCGTGACTTAATTTTATAACGGTAAGGTTGTATCTTTTAGTCCCCTTTACCTGTTTTGCTCGAGCCCCATCACCATTTCTTTGTATTTGTTTCGGGTTTTTTTTTTTTTTTGATTCCATATGTAAGTGAGATCATATGGTATTTCTTTCTCTGACTTCACTTAGAGTAATACCTTCTAGCTCCATCTGCATTGTCCCAAATGGCAAGATTTCATTTTTTATATGCAACTATATAATTTTATATAGAATCGACGATTTATAGTCTTTATCTTTCTGCTTCGAAGCATCCAACAGTAGTTTTCAAATTTTTTACTGCCCCAGTCACTTTAAGAAATTTTTATATTTTGCTCTGATATGTATATGGAAAAAGTTTCATGAAACAGTTCTTAACTACATGTGATTCTATCATATGTTTTAATCAGTTTGATTTAAAAATGCTGGTTGGGAATCACTGAATTGTTTTCATTACCTTATCTGTAGCTGGAAAACACCTGTCTATGTTACATTGTTCTTCTGGAAGAGCTGCCTCAACTTGGTCATTTCAAATGATGTCGCAGCTTTTTATTGTTAGTCTGAGAGTTGAAATAGTAAGTACTTACTGTGAGTGCCTCTCTGTTAAATTGGAGAAGCTCTTAAAATAGCCTCCTGTCACCTGTGCTAAATGATCTGCCTGGTGTAACTACTCCGAGGTAAGTGTATTCTCTGCGATGCTGTCATTCCGGTGCTTTGGGGCCTTGGTGTTGGTGAATCTTGAGTTAACACAGAGCATCATTATGTGGAAAACCCAGGGGGCTTAAGAAACAGCGGAGCATAATTAGCAGTTTTCGTTGTCGTTATGAGGATGGGCTTTGCGTAGAATTCTAGCTTTTTCTCCCCGGTATTTATTGAATGTTTTCTATATATTTATATGTTACTTTGTGCCGCAGAGGATTAAAAAAAGTCATGTTTGATCCTTTAAGGAATATGCATTCTGTTTCACAGAAAATAGAAAAGCCAACATGCAAGATATTCCTTGCTTTTTCTCCCGTTAAAACAGGATGAGGTATCAGTTAAAGCTTGGGTCAAGCCTTCCACCTGCACGCTGGATCCCAGCTCATCCTAGCACCACCAGGAACCTGAATGTCACGTATCTCATTTCTTCTGTGCCTTCAGTTTACTGGCCTACCCCCATCAACCCTGAAACATACTGATGTCTCTTCCATCTTTAACAAGGTGTTTTTGTTTTTTATAACTAGGCTTCTTAAAATAAGTTTTAATTCCTACACCTTAACATGATGCACAAAGGTTCCTGCCCCACAACGGTAATGAATCGGTTCTAATCAGGGACAGCAGTGACCTCCATGTTTTCTAGCTGACCTCAGCAGCATTTGACACTCTTGACCAGTCTTATTTCTACATGTACCCCTTCACCTTTCCTCCTTTATGATAGTACTAAAAGAATTTTGGACTTAAAAAGGTCAAGAGTTAGTAATTTCTGTGCCGGTGAAAATCTGTGCCCATTATACCCCAGCACCAGAGTTCTGGCTCTTTTGAACCTTTTTTCATTTTTTCAGTTATTTGAACTTGCCTTTCTTACTCATCCTTTTCTTTATAATAGTCTTCTATAATTTTCTTTTTTTTTTTTTTTTAGATTTTATTTATGTATTTGACAGAGACACAGTGAGAGAGAAAACAAGCAGGGGGAGTGGGAGAGGGAGAAGCAGGCTTCCCGCGGAGCAGGGATCCTAATGGGGCTCAATCCCAGGACCCTGGGATCATGACCTGAGCCGAAGGCAGACGCTTAATGACTGAGCCACGCAGGCACCCCAGTACTCTTCTATAATTTTCTTCAGCTCCTTACTTCATGGTCAGTGAGTAGCCTTTGAAAGGTCCTTTATTCCCCCCCCCAAGTGTAGGCAAAAAAACAGTGTGGTAGGGACTTTGCTGTCCTGTTGATAGCATATTTTGACATCTGCAGAGTAGATTTTTTCTTCATTTTACTGTAAAAATTTTCAGTTGTGCAGAAAACTTAAAATTGTACAGTTAGAGGGGTGCCTGGATGGCTCAGTTAAACATCTGCCTTAGGCTCAGGTCATGACCTCGGGGTCTTGGGATCGAGCTGTGGGTAAGGTTCCCTGCTCAGCAGAGAATCTGCTTCTCCCTCTCCCTTTGCCCCTCCCCACCACTTGTGACTTCTCTTTCTCTCTCTCTCTCTCAAATCTTAAAAAATTTAAAAAATTGTACAGTTTGAAACTCACATGCCACAACCTAGATTCTGTAGTTAAACCTGCATTAACATTTTGCTCTATTTGCTTTATCATGTACCTGTCCAGAAACTACTTCAGAGTAGTTATAGTAGTCAGAACTTTTTAGGATCGGTGATAGGCTATTTTAGTAGCTTCTCCACAGTGTGAGGAAGGGGGGACTCACAAGGTTAAGTATTTCAGCTCTCACAGCTTAACAATAAAAAGCTGGGACACCACTTGAAATGACCAAAGATGAGGGAGCTCTTTGGGAACCATGCAGTCAGGTGTTACTCAGCTGCAGATGGCGTAATGAAAACAATTTAATGATCTTAATATATTTCAAGTTAAGTTGCAGACATTGGTACACTTTACCCCTAAACAATTTGGTGTGCATATCATTAATGAGCATTCAGTGTTTATTTATACGTCTTTTTATGTGTATACACAAATTTATATATTAAATACACAGATCAGTGAATTTTGACAAATGCATATGCCTATATACCTGTGTAATCCCATCTGTATCAAAATAGAGATTACCTCATTCCATCTTCCAGTCATTCCCTTTGCCTACCACCCTCAGAAGCCACCACTGTTCAGATTTCTTTGCACCACTGGTTGGTTTTGCCTGCTCTAGAACTTCACAGGAGTGGAATCATCAGACTGTGCTCTCCTGTGTTCCACTATGTTTCATCATAATGGTTTGAGTTTTATTCATGTTGGATAGATGAGTTGTTCCTTTTTTTTGCTGAGTAGTATTCCATTGTATAAATAGAGCCGGTTTGTGAATCCATTCTTCTGATGTTGGGTTCTTGGGCTGTTGCCAGGATTTGGCTCTGACGATGAAAGCTGCTGTGGAACTTGCTTTATAAGTCTGATGTTTGCATTTCTCTGAGGAAAATGCCGGGGAGTGGAATTGCTAGGTCATAGAGTATACATATATGTTTTTATAAAAAACCACGAGACGTTTTTCCAGTGTGCTTGGACCATGTTACACATCTACCAGCAAGGAGGGTTCAGAGGTCCTCCAGTCGCGCGAGCAGTTTGTGTTGTCAGTCTTCTTAATTTCAGCCATTTGGAGGATTCTAGTGATACTGCATTGTGGTTTTAATTTGCATCTGCCTAGTGATGATGATGATAGTGCTTTCCATGTGGTTAATTTTTTTTTTTGACCATTTGTAGCTCTTTTGTAAAGTTAAAATTGCTTGCATTATTTTTTAATTGGGTTGGTTTTTTCCTTATTGTGTTGAAGGAATTCTTCATATATCATGGATTCCAGGCTCTGTCAGATATGTCAGATATATTTTGTGAATATTTTCTCCCAGACTATGGTTCCCAGACTATGGGTCTTCTTTTAATTTTCTTCTTTGTTCGTTCCTCCCTCCCTCCCTCT